AGGAAAATTGAACCAAGCTCACTGTCCAAGGGCCCTAGATTCTATTGCAGGCCATGTCCCTTCTCCCCCAACTTTTAGTAGTTTGCTGGTAGTCCAGGAGCTTGGGTAGGAGGCTTTGCAGACCAGATTTGGCCCACATACTGTATGTTTGACGCCCCTGTCTTAGGGTATGGACACACAAGCATTTGGAGGAGTTCCAAAAAGGCAGCAGCTGTTACATGTGGACAAATTATTGTTAAAGTCAGAGCTGTTTTGCTACTTTTATATTGTATCTAGCTTGCCTACAGGTAACAATTGAAATAAAGCCACTAGAGGTACACCTCTAGCTCTGTACCATATTGGATTGGTACCGATAAAAAGAAAATTAACATTATCGGCTATTGGCTTTTGTTGGCCAGTGTAGCAGATAATGTCACCAATAAATATAATTAATTATACCTTCTGGGTGGGGCCTCTGGATGCTGCATGCATTCACACAGCCAGGAATGCAGCCAGGCAGCATGGAGAGCAGTGCCCCTCAGGTAAGTCTTTGGAGGGGAAGGGGAGCATGCAGGGGGATGGAAGAGTGAGGGGAACAGATTGAGGCCTCCATGGTGAAGGAGGGAGTGGGGCAGGGGCAGGGGCAGTGGCTGTGGCTGGGGGTGTTGCCCAGCCTGGGCGGTGAATGGGACCTGGGGCTGGGAGCAGGACAGATCGTCCTGGGGACACGGGGGAGGGACGGGAGAGGGGGGGGGCTGCAGAGGTAGCTCCCTGCTGCTGCATGCCACTCCGTGGGGGGTGGCATGGGCCCCCCCAGATTTGTGTGCGGGGTGATGTGGGCTGCCTGCTGCAGGGTCAGTGCTCCTCATTCCGCTGCCTTAACCCAGGAGACCCATGCGCATTCCCTGCCCTTCCAGCAGCAGTGGGGCAGTGAGTTGTGTCTCCCACTGCTGGGTGGGCAGGGGACGCAGAGCCGACATGGAGCCCCTGGGGCAAAAGCAGCAAAACGGAGAGCCCCAAGCCTGCAGTGGGCAGCCCGTACCTGCTCTTGGCCCGCTTGGCTCCAGTCCAGTTAAAAGCGTCCCTGCGCTTTAAAATGGTAGCAGCAGCACTTTGAGCTTTAGTTCCAGCGCCCCACCTCCATTTTTAAGCGCCAAGATGCTGATCCCCTGGACAAGCTGCCCACGGCTCTGTCCCACTCCCCACCCCAGTCCCAGGTCCCATTCACTGCCCTGGCAGGGCAGCGCCCACAGCCCCACTCCCTCCCTCACTGGTGGGGCCTCGATCTGCTACCCCCAACCCTTCTTTCCTCCGTGCCTCTTCCCCTCCACAGACTTAACCTGCAGGTCACTGCTCTCCATGCTGCCCAGCTGCATTCCTGTAAATCAGGCTTGTCCAACATACGGCCCACGGGCCGCCATGCAGCCCGCCAAGACATTTTCTGTGCCCCACGGTGCTGCGATGGGAAACGAAAGTAAACATAGTTTACTTTTGGTCCCACCCCTTGTCCCTCCCCCAGCCCCTCAGCAGCTTCCTAATGGCTG